TCATGACATTCCACTCCTTTCCCGTTCTATACCCCACCAGAATCTGGTTACATGCCCAACGCGAATGAATCTCGCGCTGTTGTGAGACGTATGCAAGGACGCTTGCGAGCTTGTTCTATGTGGTGGAATTCTTGGTGCACGAGTCGGTTCATCTTATCAGTCATCGTGTCGGGGTATCGCCTGCCATGGCGATCTTGCGAACCTACCCCTCACCACGCCCCAAATCACGCGGGCGCTCTACAGCATACGGCGTTTGCAGCTGAAGCAGTGGCTGACCTTCTCGCCACCGGCGCAGCGCGCATTGTCCCAGCTGGCACGCCACTTACTTGCATTAGCCCACTCAACGTGATCGTCCAGCCTTCTAAGAAAAGACTCATTCTCGACCTTCGCCATGTGAACTCATTCCTCTCCATTCCTCGTTTTCGGTACGAGGGACTTAATCGGGTACCCGACCTGGTGCGTCAGGGTGACTGGCTGTTTACAATAGACCTTAAGTCGGGCTATCATCACGTGGACATCGACCCATCATATTGGCGGTTTCTCGGATTTTCATTGCAAGGTCAAAAATATCAATTCTTGTCCTTGCCCTTTGGGCTCGCCACGGCTCCATTCGTCTTCACGCAGCTAATCAAGCAACTTGCTAAGCGTTGGCGCAGCAACGGAATTCGGCTAATCCCTTACGTGGACGATCTCTTATTTATCAGTGCCACTTGGGCTGAGGCAATCAAAACACGAGCCGTCATTCTAGATGATCTCAGCTCTGCCGGATTTGTCGTCAATATTGGGAAATCACAGCTCGAGCCCTCGCAACGGCTCAAATTCCTTGGCCTCATGCTGGACACTCGCACCTCATCCTTCTCTGTCGATGCTGACCGCCGAGGCCGGTTGTTTGAAGAACTCGACCATTTGTGCCGAATCAGCACGCAGGGTCGTCCTACCCCAGTTCGCCGAGTGGCTAGAGTGGCAGGCATGCTAGCCTCTATGGCGTTGGCACTTGGCACCATCGCTCGTGCCTTCTCCCATAATCTGCTTTCTCAAATCAGTGCGTGCCAATCTTGGGGAGAGTCCGTCCACTTAACACCGGAGTCGGTTGACGAGCTGAGATTTTGGCTGACTCAGTTCGATGTCTTCAATGGTTCTTGTTTCCATAATCCGCACATGTATGACGTGGTCATGTATGTGGATGCAAGCGACCATGCTTGGGGGAGTTGCTATTCCACGCCGGATGGTCGTGCCGGCTCAAGCTCTTCTCCATTTCCTCGTACGCTATCAGCCGCCTCAAGCACGCTACGTGAACTCACTGGGATTCTTTGGGCCCTAGCTTCCTTCAGCCGCGAAATTCGGCGATCACATGTGTTGCTTCGGAGCGACAGCCAGGCAGCTTACTACATCTTAAAGAAGGGTGGTTCGCGTCACGCGGAACTCACCCTAATATGTCGCGCCATCATCACGCTTTGCGTGCGCCATAAGATTCGACTCACGGCACAGTGGATCCCTCGGGAGCTCAACACCGAGGCCGACGCGCTCTCAAAAATCGAACTTCATGATGACTATTCTCTCGCGCGGACATGGTTTCAAGTACTCGAGCGTCGCTGGGGGCCACATACTATCGACTTGTTCTCGTCGCCGTTCAATGCACAGCTGTCCCGCTTTTGCTCCCTTAACTTTCATAAAGAAGCCGTCGCACAAGATGCATTTTCTCTCAGTTGGAAAGGAGAGAACTGCTATGCCTTTCCCCCACCGCCCCTAATCCCAGCGGTCATTGCTCACGCGCGTCGTTCTAGAACAACGATAACTCTTGTGATCCCGGAGTGGCCTAGCTCGTTTTGGTGGCCACTGCTGCGCCCGAATGGCACTGCCTGGGCGAATGATGTATGTGGGAGCATGTATCTCTCCCACGGCTCCGTTTGTCTAGGTGTTGGTAGTGATCCTCAGGCCTTTAGTGGTGCCGGTATTCCACATTCGCACATGTATGCACTCCGTTTGATATATACTAATGCATAGTCATATCAACGTGCAGGATCTTACATTGGACGCTTGATGATGGATCTCTTGACACTCACAGTCGATTTGCACGCTCAATCGACCATCCGCACATACGAACCATACTGGCGACAATATCGCGCCTTTTGCCAAGAGCATTCGTTGCCATTCCTTCCAGCAACTGACCTGACAACAGCCCTTTTCCTACTACACTCGATCCGAAGGGGCGCAACCGTATCGGCCATGCGAACTGCTTGCTCCGCAATCTCATGCGCCCATTGGTTGGTCGGCTGCCCTTCCCCTATTCGAGGACCACTTTCTTCACAAGTGCGAGAATACGCGCAGCGCCACTGCGGCAAGCCCTCACTGGCGAAGGAACCGATACCCCCTGCGAAGATCTACGACATATGCGACATCTATTTCGCGTCGTCGGATCCTGCCACATTCCAGCGCGGTCTCATACCCCTTCTGATGTTCGCGGCCTTCTTGCGCTTCTCCGACCTGATCGCCCTCCGGTGGCACCAGATCGAATTCGACCGTGACTGCATGTGGCTCTTCATTCCCCGATCCAAAACGGATCAGGCCGGATCAGGCGCCTGGGTTCCAGTTGCAGCCTCTTCTGCTCGTCACTGCCCAGTCGCCCGCACGCAACAATTTCTTTTCCTCGCGGGATTCTCTTCTCAGACATTAGGCGCCTTGATCAGGGTGTTCCCGCCTAATGCTCGCGCTTCGCCGTCGGACCGTTCCCCCTCATATGCCACGGTTAGAAGCTGGTGTCGCGAGGCGTTCTGTCGGGTCGGCCTCAACCCGAATGCCCTCGGCACACATTCTTTTCGCAAATCGGCAGCCACTGTGGCAGTTGATGTGGGTATTCCCGATCGAATCTTCAAGGCTCTCGGCCGATGGCGTAGCGACAAGGCTTGTGAGTTATACGTCACTCAACTTGATCGGGAATTGGTAGCGGCGTCTCGAACTCTTCAGGATCCAACACGCCCTAGTCCAACCCATCGTTACGCAGCCACCCTCGCACGCCATCGTCACATTCCCTCGATATGATGTCTCGCTTACCTATGACGACTGCACTGCACACTCCTCGGAGAGTCGTGTCACAATATGTAAAAATTTTGAAGTTAAAAAATTTGAAGATTGTGATTCGACTAGTAGAGGAGTTTGCTGTAAAGGAGACAAACTCCTTGACATTCCGGCAGGCCTCTTAGACCTGCCACCTAGTCTCATTTGCATTTTCTAGATCTTGATTTGCTCCCTCCCTCCCAACCCCCTTCTATCATAGGTAGTTCTTAGTACGTAGTTTATGATTGAACCAACTGTTATTGCCCATCTGAGTGTGCTGTAAAATCGAGATTTGTAATGCTATGACGACCTATGACGACTGCACTGCACACTCCTCGGAGAGTCGTGTCACAATCTAAGCACACCTAAGCAAACTTGGCACACCTAAGCAAAGTTGGCACACCTAACCAGATATCCGAAGCAAAGCACTAAGGCGGTCCAATTTGACCTCTTGGTGGTGCACCCACCAGCCAGCGGCAGCCCACATGTCCTCCACCTGTGGGCCACCTCGCCCTGCACTTCACCACAAAGAGCCACTCACGAGGAGAAAAAGAAATGGGACAGCAATGGGACATGAAAGGAAGAAAAAGAAAGAGGAGCCACTTAGTAGCTGCAGAAGTAAAGACGGTCAGACGGCAAAGAATAGTTGTGTATTAAAAGAAGAGCACTAAGAGCGTGTTCCTATCCTCGTATCAAAATAACCTCGTATCAAGCTCACACTGAAAATTCCCCTAAACCCAAAACCCCTCGCTAGTTTTACCAAGCAAAAACAACATTCTTGATACGAGGTTTCCTGATATGAGGCTTTAGGAACACGCTCTAAGTTGTCAGAGGTCCACTTGTGATCCTCGATTGATTCTAGGGAAGGGTTACATGCATGTTGGCATGAGAGGTTATGGACGCACTGACCCGCTACTTAACAAGCCCTTTTATCCCAGTGGTCTAGTGATTGGGATTCTGACATGGTATCAGAACGAAAGTTTCGGGTTCAAATCCTAGTGTGTGCACTACGGGCATCCCAGTGCGAGGGGGTGTCAGAGGTCCACTGGTGATCCCCGATTGATCCTAGGGAAGGGTTACAAGCATGCTGGCCTGGGGGGTTATGGACGTACTGACCCGCTACTTAACAAGCCTTTTTATCCCAATGGTCTCGTGGTTGGGATTCTGACATGGTATCAGAGCAAAGGTCTCGGGTTCGTATCCCGGTGTATGCACTTCGAACATCCCAGTGCGGGGGGGTGTCAGAGGTCCACTAGGGATCCCCGATTGATCTAGAGAAGGGTTACCGGCATGTTGGCCTGGGAGGTTATGGGCGCACTGACCCGCTACTTAACAAGCCTTTTTATCCTAGTGGTCTAGTGACTTGGATTCTGACATAAGTGAGAAATGTGCGATAACAAGGCCAGCAACTTCCCCTTGCAGAATCACCCATTATACCCACCATGTAGATTACGTTGCAGTAATGTTGCTGCCACTGCTTCCCCCACGGATGCTGCCAGAAACAGCAATTGACATGGAGAGGGGAGAAAAACAAAGTCGCAACAACAACAGAATAGAAGGGGCGTGGATGAAGGGAGAGGCGGGGAGGCAAGGGCACCATTAGATTAGCATAAAGGAAGATGGGAGGGAGGGCTGAGGAGAAGGATGACGAAAAACGAATGAGGTGCTGGGGTCTAGACAAGAACGCAAGTGATGTTGAACAGCAAACATATAAAGAGAACTTGGAAGCATAGGGTAGACTGTAATTACCCCTCCATTGCTGCAGCTTCAATCACTGCAGTGGCCGTTGAGGCTGCAACTGCTGCTGCCACCACCACCGCTGCTACTGCAACCGCTGCTGTCCATGCTCCTGGTGCATGACAATAGGTGGTGCCGTACGGGCAATGGCAGAGAGGAAAGCAGAGAAGAGGACAGGGCAGGCGAGGAGTGGTTTGAGAGCCGAGCAGATGGGCATGAACAACTGGCAACAGAGTGGCAGAGAAGTATGGGTGTCGTAGCACAACAAAAAGTAGGGAGGTGGCGGGAGAAGGGATGACAAGGCAGAGGAAGAGAGGCGTGAGGATGTGAAAGAGCAGATGCAAGCTGGAGAAGGGACTAGGACAAAAAGCAACGCACGGTGCATTCGCCGAGCTGCTACATCTTTCATTCCAAGTTCCTCTTGCCTTGGAAGAGAAGAAAATCGTGTTGTCCCCACCGAAGGGCAGGCAGGTCCACGAAGAGCAATCCGCCACACCTTGAAGGCTGAGAGGCACACTCACAGGCATGCACACCCGCACACGCACACATGCACGCCCCCACCCCCCTTCCCCCCACCCCCCTTCCCCCCATCCCCCCTCCCCCCTACACGCACATGCGCAGTCCCCGTCCGCTCGTCCCCGTCCGTCCCCGTCCGTCCCCCGCCCTCCTCTCCCCCTTATACCCGCCCTCCTCTCCCCCTTATACCCGCCCTCCTCTCCCCCTTATACCCGCCCTCCTCCCCCCCTTATACCCGCCCTCCTCTCCCCCTTATACCCGCCCTCCTCTCCCCCTCATACCCGCCCTCCTCTCCCCCTCATACCCGCCCTCCTCTACCCCTGATACCCGCCCTCCTCTCCCCCTTATACCCGCCCTCCTCCCCCCTTCATACCCGCCCTCCTCCCCCCCTCATACCCGCCCTCCTCCCCCCCTCATACCCGCCCTCCTCCCCCCCACATACCCGCCCTCTCCCCCCCCCCAAATACCCGCCCTCCCCCCCCCACATACCCGCCCTCCCCCCCCCCACATACCCGCCCTCCTTCCCCCCACGTACTCGCCATCCTTCCCCCCACATACCCGGGACAGAGGTGGAGCCTGAGTGGGGGAGGGGGAGAGGGGGAGGGAGAGAGTGGGAGGGACAGAGGGAGAGGGACACAGGGGGAGGGACAGAGGGGGAAGGACAGAGGGAGAGGGACAGAGGGGGAAGGACAGAGGGAACAGTGGGGGAGGGAACGAGGGGAAGGGACGGAAGGGGAGGGAGAGAGAGGGAGGGAGAGAGGAGGGTGGGAAAGAGGCGAGGGAGAGAGGGGGAGGGAGAGAGGAGGGAGAGAGAGGGATGGACAGATGGGGAGGGACAGAGGTTGAGGGACAGAGGGGGTTTGAAATATGGTGTTGGATGGGAGGGGGTTGGATGGATTGTGTGAGACGGGGGGGTGATTTGAAATTGGGGGATGGTGTGAGATGGAGGTGGCGTGTGCGATTGAGTGATGGCGCATGGGATGAGGTGGCGTAGTCTGCACATTGCTCACTCCCGTCCTCTCTTCCTCGTCTCCCACACAATCCTCCCTCCAATTCTCTCCCCGGCATTTGCCCCCGTCCCCCCGATCCCCTTCCCTGCTCCCCCCCATCCCCTTCCCTCCTTCCCCCTATGTCCTTCCCTGCTTCCCCCCATCCCCTTCCCTGCTTCCCCCCATCCCCTTCGCTGCTTCCCCCCATCCCTTTCCCTGCTTCCCCCCATCCCTTTCCCTGCTTCCCTGCCGCCACCCCTCGTTCCTTCGCACCTTCCTCACTCCTTCCCACTCTCTCTCATTCCTTCCCTCATTCTCCTTCCTCCCAACCTCACACGCTCTCACTCCTCTCGCACTCTCTCTCTCCGTCCTCTCGCACTCTCACTCTCCTTCCCACCACCCTCAGCCCTCCTTCCCCCCACCCTCTGTCCTGTTCCCACCTGCCCTCCCAATCCTTGCCTTTCCCTCCCTGCCCTGCCCTTCCCTTCCCCATCCCTTCTCAACCCTTTCCTTCCTTTTCGTGCCCTCCCCTCTCCCCTCCATCCTCACCTTCCGCCCTCTTGTTTCCATGCATGTGCACCGACCAATGATTCCCCATACATGCTTTCATCATGTGCGCTTGCTTGTATCCCCTTGCGGTTGTTCCCTTGCACCTCACACCACCTCCCCCATGTTTCTTCACACAATTCTTTCTGCCCACTCCACTCTCCTAATTTTCAGTGGTGAAGCAGATGAGCAAGCTGAGGCACAGCTAGTCAATGCTTTACACCTTACCACCGACTGTTTCTTGTGTGTTGTATGCAAGCATGATATGAGACTGCTGTTGGAGATATATACCTTGTTTCTGCAGTGCAATATATTCTTTCCAAAATGCATGGACACTAAGAGTGTCAGAAGGGTACATCGAGGCATGTTCCTAATACTACTGATTGTACCTTTCTCAAGGCCTTGAAAAAACACGAGAGAAACTGGTTTCTCTACGAGCATGGCATGGGATGATGGGCTGAGGCGAGTTGCAGTATCAGAAAAATCTTCAGTGTAGTCACTGCAATAGCGAGGGAGAGGGAGACAATACGAGGGATTGTGAGGGGGATCAAGAAAAGGGTCAAACAGGGGAGATATGGGAGAGCAGGGAGGGAAATGATGAGAAGCAGGGAGGGAAATGACGAGAAGAAGGGAGGGAAATGATGAGAAGAAGGGAGGGAAATGATGAGAAGCAGGGAGGGAAATTATGAGAAGAAGGGAGGGAAATGATGAGAAGAAGGGAGGGAAATGATGAGAAGCAGGGAGGGAAATTATGAGAAGCAGGGAGGGAAATGACGAGAAGAAGGGAGGGAAATGATGAGAAGAAGGGAGGGAAATGATGAGAAGCAGGGAGGGAAATTATGAGAAGCAGGGAGGGAAATGACGAGAAGCAGGGAGGGAAATTATGAGAAGCAGGGAGGGAAATGACGAGAAGCAGGGAGGGAAATTATGAGAAGCAGGGAGGGAAAGGATGAGCAGCAGGGAGGGAAATGATGAGAAGCAGGGAGGGAAATGAGGGGCAGCAGTGGGGAAAATGAGGGGAGGTGGGGGGGGGAATGCGGGGAAGCAGGGGGGGGAATGAGGGGAAGCAGGAGGGTACAAACAGGGAAAGCGGGAAGGGAAATGAGGTGAAGCAGGGAGGGAAATGAGTGGCAGCAGCGGGGGAAATGAGGGGCAGCATGGGAGGAAATGAGGGGAAGCAGGGGGTAGAATGAGGGGAAGAAAGGGGGTAAAGTAAATGAGGGGAAGTAAGGGATGAAAGGCAGGACAGAGAGGAAAGTGGGAAGTGCGGAAGAGAGGAAGGGTGCAAGTGAGGAGCTAACATGGGAGAAGCAAGGGGCTAGCAGGGGGGTAAACGAGGGGATATGAGAGGGGAAGAGGAGGAGGAGATAGGAAGAGGGGGTGGAGGAGAAAAGGGGAGAGAATAATTCGGGGGGGTAGGGAAGATGGGAGAGGGAGGGGAGGAGATTGAACGAGGGAGGAGAGGGAAGGGAGGAGAGGAACAGCGGCAAGCAAGAGGGGAAAGGAGGGGGGGGCAGGGAGGGAAAGGAGGGGAAGGAAGGGGGGAAAGGAGGGGAATCAGGGGAATCCGCGCCTCATCCCCTTCCTCGTCATCCTCTTCCGCGCCCATCCCCTTCCGCGCGTTATCCCCTTCCGCGCCTTATTCCGCTCTGTACGTGAGCAGCGCACGCCTGCACGATGAGGAGCGGCAGTGCGCCAATGCGCCTGCTGCAGATCACGTCACAAGCGGAGCCTCTCTCCCGTCGCGCGCCAAGCCGCCGATTTTCTTTCCCTTATTTTCCCCCTTCCACCCCCAGTATCTGCTCCTTTAATCCTCACCCGTCTGGCGTTGCGTCTCCCGCAAGTTGCGCCAGCGGACAGCTCTCCCATCACGCGATCAGAACCGATTTCCCCCGCCAACGCAGTCTCTCTTACGCCTCTTCCCTCCCTCTCCGCCTTCGGAGAGCGCAGAGCGCACGGGGGCAGAGCGCAGGGTGCAGGGGCGCGGAGCACTCGTACCTGTCCTGGCGTGGTGGTGCCTCGTTCCAGCGCCCTCTCCGCGGCCGCTCTTCCCTGCACGTCCAACACCATTTCCCCCACCACCACGGGCGCACCCAACCCCGCGAAAACAGAGCAAGGCGCGGGAGAAACCGCGGTGGGGGGAACGGCGAGCAGAGGCGCGGCGAGGCGAGCGGAGGCGCAACGAGGGGAGGCTTCCTGAAACGAGGGGAGGCGTGACGACAAGAGGCGAGGCACGAGAGAATGCGCGACGAAAATATGGGTGGCAAGTGTCAGAACATTATAGCTTATGCATTTGTGTAGGCTGTAGTTTGGTAGCCCATAAGGGGTACAACCCAATTAGGGTTAGTACTTGTACCCAACTCTTTCATAGTTCATTCATTCCTCGTTCTAGTTTCACATGGTATAGAGCAGGTTCCCTCGTGGGAACTGTTCCTAGGGCCCACCGATTCGATTTTTTTTTTCTCCTGCCTGGAGCGCGCTCAGTCCCTGCCCGAGTCGCGCTCCGTGGGTCTCTCCTCTCACGGCCCCTCACGGCCCCTTAGCAGCCCCTCGCGGCCCCGTTGCGCTGCTATAGCGGCCGCGTCACGTCGCGCCGCCCTAGCGGCCGCGTCGCGCCGCCCTCGCGGCCCCAATCCGCCGCCCTCGCGGCTTCGTCGCGTCGCGCCGCCCTCACGGCCCCTTCGTGCCGCCCTCGCGGCCTCTTCAGGCCGCAGTCTCGACCTCCCCCTCCTAGCCGCCCTAGCGGCCGCCGTCGCGACCTCCCCCTCCTAGGCGCCCTAGCGGCCCCGTCGCCTACCCCTGCCTCGGCGCCGCCTCTGCTGGCCCCGTCGCCTACCCCTGCGGCCCCGGCGCCGCCTCTACTGGCCCCGACGCCGCTCCACCCGGCCCCGACGCCGCTCCATCCGCCCCTACCGCCGCTCCCCACGCGGCCCCGCCGTCACCACCGAGCCGCCGGCGCCGCCGAGCAGCTGCCGCGCCGCCCGATCCACCCGAGCCGCCCGAGCTGCCGAGTCGCCGTACCGCCCGAGCCGCCCGCGCCGCCGAGTCGCCGAGCCGCAGTTGCTGCCGAGCCGCCGTACTGCTGCGCCGCCGAGCCGCCCGAGCCGCCGAGCCGCCCAGTCCGGTAAGAGCAGCGCCTCTGTCACTGCACTGCCCTTACCCTACTGCTCGTGCTACTAGTCTACTGCTGTCATGACTACCCCTAGTGTCCTCACTTTTGACGCTGAGGGTCGGGCCATTGACTTCAACGTCTGGGTAGATGACCTGCAACTTTTCCTACAGTGCGATAGGGCAGACGGTCTCTCCCTCTTTGACCTCACCTCTAGTGCCTCTCCTGGCCCTACTGCTGATGCCGGCGCCGCTGTTCGCTCACAGTGGGCCACACGCGATGCTGCTGCACGTCTTGCTGTGCGTCTCCACCTGCCTACCTCTGAGCGTGCACACTTTAGTCAGTACAAGAGTGCTCAGACCTTGTACGACGCTGTAGTTGCACGCTACTCCTCCCCTGCCACTGCTGCACTAAGCCGCCTCATCCTACCGTACCTCTTCCCTGACCTTGCTGCCTTTCCCACAGTCGCTGACCTCATTACGCACCTCCGCACTAGTGACACTTGCTACCGCGCTGCGCTTCCTGCTGAGTTCTGCGACAAGAACCCCCCCCCCCCCCCATGTACATCACCCTCTACTACATAGTCACCCGGCTCCCTGATTCCCTTCGCTTAGACAGGGACCACTTCCTCTCGGTTTGCCCCACCACTCTCACCGTTGACCTCCTGAGAAGGCCCTCCTAGCAGCGGAGAAGAGCATAGTAGCTGTAGGAGCCTCTCGTGGTGACCCTCGCACCCCCATCTTTGAGGGGAGTTCCCCTTCCCCCCCTTTTGCCCTCTGTTGCCTCTTCTACTGCGGCCGACCTCATTGGACTTGAGTCGGTCGGTGCGGCGTCTACCCCTAGCGGGAGACGCCGCCCTGGCAAGGGCAAGGGGGGCAGGGGCGCTGGAGGAGCTAGCGGGGGCGGAGGAGGCGGCGGTCGAGGCGGCGGAGGGGGTGGAGGTGGCGGTGGAGGTGGTGGCGGGGGTGGAGGTGTCGGTGGCGGCAGTGGAGGCGGAGGCGGCAGCGGCGGTGGCAGTGGGAGCGGAGGTGGCGGAGGTGGCGGCGGTGGAGGCGGCGGAGGCGGAGGAGGTGGAGCTGGTCGGGGTGGCGCTGCGCAAAGGGTCGGCTCCGGTAGTGGTCAGCGCCAGCAGCAGCAGCAGCAGCAGCGCACTCGTGACATCCCCCCCCCCTCAGCAGCTCCGTGAGTGGTACGCTGCACGCCAGCGGGGCGGGGGTACTGGTCCGTGCACCTACGTCCTGCGCACCGGCGACCGTGCGGGTGAGCAGTGTGGGGGTGCGCACCCCACCCAGCGCTGCTTTGGCCGCCTGACGGACGCTTGGCGTCACCAGTTCCCGGAGGCCACTGAGATCCCTCGCTGGGGCGAGCTCTCTAGGGCGGGGGTAGCTATCTTTGGCCTTGACTTTGATGCTATTCTTGCTGCTATGTATGCTGTGACTATTAGTGATGAGGGTGACTGTTACCGGTGTTTCCCGCCCGACCCGGGCATTGAGACTGGTGCTCTAGGTACTGGTGAGGCTGCTGCTCTTGGTGCTAGCGAGGCTGCTGCTCTAGGTGCTAGTGCGTCTGCTTCCTCAGGTGCTGGTGAGTCTGCTCTCTCAGGTACTGCGTCGGCTTCGGCCTCCCTCACCATCACCCTTGACTCTGGGGCTTCTCGCTCCTTCTTTCGAGACCGCACCACACTCACGCCGCTTGGTCGGCCAGTTGCAGTCTCTCTGGCAGACCCCTCTTGGGGCCCTGTCCTTGCTCACTTCTCCACTGTCCTCCCGTGTCCGGCGGCTCCCTCTGGCACCCTGTCTGGTCTTTACCTCCTCTCGTTCTCTACGAACTTTGTGAGTGGTGCTGACCTACAGGATGGGGGAGTGCACCAGTTCACTCCTGCCAGCCAGCGGGCGACACACTGCACTGAGGCTCGGATGGGCCGACACTTGGCCACGTTTACACGTCAGCCGGGGTCGAGCCTGTACACACTGACCACTGAGTCTCCTCCAGTCACTGCGTCTGGTCGGGTAGCTGCGTTGGGTCAGGTGTTTGCTGCAGCGTCCAGGTCTGGTCCTGAGTCTGCCCCCTGTTCGTGTCGTCTCCTGTCTCACGAGACTCTCCTGTGGCACCACCGCCTTGGTCACCCCTCCCTGCCTCGTCTCCGAGGCATGGCGGCCCGTCTCCTTGTCTCTGGTCTTCCCCAGTCCATACCTCCCCTTCCCTCGGGGCCTGCCCCTGCTAGCGTCCCCTGCGTCGAGGGGCGGCAGCGTGCTGCCCCTCACTCCTCCCAGTTTCCTCCGACAGAGGCCCCGCTGCAGACGCTTCACATGGACGTGTGGGGCCCAGCCCGCGTCCGTGGACAGGGTCACGAGCGCTACTTCCTGCTGGTGGTTGACGACTACTCGCGTTACACCACAGTCTTCCCCTTGCGCAGCAAGGGTGATGTCACTGAGGTGTTGATCGACTGGATCCGCGCAACTCGTCTCCAGCTAAGGCAGAGCTTCGGCTCGGACTTTCCTGTTCTGCGTCTGCACTATGACAGAGGCGGAGAGTTCTCCTCTGGCCTTCTGCGCGCCTACTGTCGTGCACGAGGCATCCGCCAGACCTTCCCGCTTCCGGACTCTCCACAGCAAAATGGGATTGCTGAGCGCCGCATTGGCATGGTCATGGATGTCGCTCGTACGTCCATGATGCATGCGGCTGCCCCCCATTTTTTGTGGCCGTTTGCGGTTCGGTACGCGGCGCATCAGATCAACCTTCAGCCCAGGGTCTCCATGCCGGAGACCTCCCCAGCCTTGCTGTGGACGGGGAAGGTTGGGGATGCGTCTGCGTTCCGTGTCTGGGGATCTCGGGCGTTTGTCTGCGACTTGTCTGCGGACAAGCTGTCCCCTCGTGCTGCTCCTTGCGTCTTCCTGGGTTTCCCCCCTGACGCGCCAGGGTGGCAGTTGTACCACCCCACCTCTCGCTGTGTTCTGTCCTCCCAGGATGTCACGTTTGACGAGTCCGTCCCCTACTACCGCCTCTTCCCCTACCGCACTCCGTCCCTTCCCCCGCCACCGCTCTTCCTTGTGCCAGGTCCCCCCCCGGTAGACCCCCTCCCCCCTCAGGGTCCTGCCCCTTCAGGTGTGTCCCAGGTAGACGCGGTCGAGCCTGTCGAGGTTGTTGGTGACTCTGGTGCTGCTGAGGGTGCTGAGCCTGGGGGTGCTGACTCTGGGGGTGCTGAGCGTGTGGGTACTGCGCCTGGGGGTACTGAGCCTGAGGGTGCTGCTACTGGGGGTGCTGAGCCTGGGGGTGCTGAGCCTGGGGGTGCTGCGACTGGGGGTGCTGAGCCTGGGGGTGCTGCGCCTAGGGGTGCTGAGCCTGGGGGTGCTACGACTGGGGGTGCTGAGCCTGGGGGTGCTACACCTGGGGGTGCGGAGCCTGAGGGAGCTGGGCCTGCTCGTGTCGCGTCTGGCGGTATTGTGCCTGGAGGTTCTCCGGGTGCTTCGTCTCGGCGGGAGCCACTCTCTCCACAGGAGCTGCGCGAGTGGTTTGCCCGGCGCTGGAGGCGTGCTGCTGGAGCTGGAGGTTCTTCGACTACTGAGGGTGCTGCTGTCGCGGGTCCCGGAGGTGCTCGTACTGGGAGTACTGGAGCTGCTGGGCCTGCGAGTACAACTGGAGCTGGAGCTGCTGAGGGTGTTGGCGCTGAGGCTGCTGCTGGAGGTCATGGAGCTACTGGAGCTGCTGTGGGTACTGGAGCTGGAGGTGCTGCCGCTGGGGGAACTGGTGCTATCCCTGCTATGTCTGGAGTCGCCGCGTGGCCTCGGCTGTACTTCGTTCCACTCCTTCAACAGGTTCTTGGTCTTCCGCCTTCTACTGGTCCTCCTCCTCCCTTAGAGTGTCCACAGCCTGTCCTGTCACAGTTACAGTTACAGCCGGCCTCCCCACTGCCTGCTCCTTCTCCCTACACTGGTCCTACTGGAGGTCTTGCTGAGCGTCA